ATTTAACATTTGATGAAAAGTTACAAATATTTTACTAAATGTTGTAAAAAATTACTCGAAAAAACATGTTTTTGTAAGGTTTTGAGCTAAATGTGGAAAAATGTTGCCCTTAATTTCAGCATGTTTCACTTTACAAATGGCGCCCCATAGGGTTATGGACCATCTTTATCATTGTACTGGAGATTTGTATGATGACATTTCTATATTTTACAACTATATATAATGTTCCTGTGCAAACATATACATGTTTCAACTGCAAACCACGGACTATATCTGATCATATTTCTTTATTGGTCCTGTCCCGTTGTGAAGCCTCAAGCTAAGTTTTTTTGTTGTTGGCATTTTTGAGTTTTAAAACTGGATGTGATGAGAAAGGGGTGAATCTGAGAAAGTGATATATATATATATATATCAGTCTCCCAGAGTAGAAACTTGTCAGTCAAACTGTGACTCAAATCCTTCCCAAAAGCCCATAAATTCATGAGTAAAGTATTAGCAAAGGCTATAGAGCAAGGAGGGCAATTACAGTTTTCCCACAGACTTCTAAACAAAAAGATATTCGCCCTCTGCTGGCCATTGTATAGAATGCAGGCTTAAATCACTTCCTCATTGGCTCACCTTTAAGGCCCAGAAGCTACATCCATCTTTTATATACAGTTCTTGCTGCAACCATATTCCACCCCCTATTTTCAGATTTAGGATGAAATTATTGGAGAGACGCAGATGGAACAGCAGGTCATAAAAAAATAAAATTATAGCTAATTGATGTTTTTATATGTATGATTAATAACTGGTAGATGATGCACAGATGGATTTACGAACAGCTGATTCTGAAGCGTCTTTTTCTGTTATTTCAAAGTGGTTTTATGTATGTCGTTTGGGCCTTTTTGTCCTGCTGAACATCCATTCCCATTCTTTAATTTTAACTTGAAAATTTCTTTCCAGGACAATGAGTAAAAATTTCCATGGTCCACTGAGAATATTTTATCCCCTTCCTCCCCCCCTAATGATAATCCCGTTCGTATGGGGCTTTAATCAATCTCTCTCTGTCCTCTAGCTCTCAATAAGTGTGATTTTCCCTCTTCACTCAGTAGTCTTAATCCCTTCTCCCCTTCCTCTGCCTGCCCTTCTCCCTCTTTTCTACTCTTCTCTTTCATCTTACATTCTTTATTTCTGTTTTCTCACAGGAGGATGAAAAAATTTTCATCCCTCCTTCACACTTCTCCCCTTGCTATTTCAAAGTGTATTTATCCTCTTTCCCCCAGGTCCATCCACACCTCTGTTCATCCTTTACCCCCACCCCCTATCCTCCACCTAGGAGTCTCAACATTTAATAGCCAACCCTCCCTCTATCCACCCAAATCCCAAATTCTTACTGTTCTTCCTTTCAATCCTGCTTCTCCAGTTTTTTTTTTTTATATCTATTTTTAAGTTCCTGAACATAATGACATGGTTCTCCCTCAGGGTGCGAAAGAGACGGGGAAATGGAGAGATAGACAGAAATGGCCTGTGTCACACTCAAAATAATCAATAATAAGTGCATGTCCACATAAGCCTCGACTCAGCAAGAGCACAATTGCACACGGTTCTTAGAGGAACAGAAGGAGAGGAAGAGGAGGGGTCAGGAAAATGAGAAAGGCAGGGATGTGGGCAGGACATTGATGTCGACAGGAGAGATAATGGAGCTGAGTAACAGAGAAGGGACGGAGGGAGTAAGACATTGAGGGGAGGACGGAAAAGGTAAACAAGAAAATAGTGAGTGGAGTGGAGGGAAGGAGGTAGAGGTGTGGGTTTAGAATAGAAGGATCATACGGGAAGAGAAGAGGAAGGAAGTAGAAAGCAGTGCAAAATGGTAGGAAATAGAAGAAGATATAGGAAGTATGTGTTTTAATGCATGTGCTGGGTGGGTTGCATTAACAAATTATCAAGTCACAATAAATCAGTGTTGATAATATTATAGGCTCTAATGGACAAATGGGCCTCACATGTTCACACTATAAGCTAGTCTCAAAAACATTGTTCAGACTGCTTGATAATGTCCAGATCAGAAAGCTCAGATTGTGCATTACTGTTGATTGTTTTACCCCTTAGTGTCTGTTAATGAAAAAACAACAACACTGCATTTGGGCTGCCTAATGACTTCCAGAAAGAAAGATGAATATGCTATACTAACTCTTTTTGTAGCAGGGACAGATCTAAAGGGGGCAAGGGGAGCAACTGGCCCCCTGCTGTAGAAACTTGCCCCATCCAGCAGCCGCCCCAACTTTTATGTCCTTAAAATACTTTTCGTCTGTGCAAGACTGCCATTGTTTTGCCAGTACTGCACGGTGTGAGCAAAGTTTTTCTGCTTTAAAACTTGTAAAAAATCCCTTTGTCTTTGTTTTCTTAGATGAGATAATGATACTTTAAATGGTTTTTGTGGATATTTTGGTAATTTGCCCCTGCTTTGCCCCACCATGTAAGGTTTTCTATATTTTCCACTAACCCATTGTGGATACTACAAAATTTGTAGTATTAAGAGCTGTGCTTTGTACAACTTTACACCTGGAAAAACAAAATGGGAAGGATACTTTGGCTTTAGCTAGGTGGTTAGTTGCTAACGTCTCTTTACATTCTTTTCCTGTAAATTGCTAGCTAGAGCCTCCTTTCCAACTGTGTCATGAATATGGTGAAAGACAGGAAGCAAGAATAGTCAAGGATCAGACTCTCATCTTTCAGGTCTTTCAGTCATCAAAAAGCAAGTTTTATGACTATAACCTAGCCTGGCACAGTGGGCATTGTTATAGTCTGAGCCTGACATTACAGGCTATATTTATCAAAAAACTACAATGAAAAAAGTGCTTAAGTTTCACAAATTTTAATTTGAGCAAAAGTTTCCATTTTCATAGATTCCCTCCATCATGCAGGTTAACTTGTGAATCTGCCATGAATTCATGAAAGTGGAGTCAGACCTATATTACTGAGTTGGTTTATGGAAACGGTGAACGTGTCGTCCTGACGGTCACCTTGTGTATCTGTCATTATCGTGCCAATAACCTATCAACTGTCCAGCTGTGCAGAAGCTGGAAAATATAAGCCAAAAGCATGAATAAACCCTGAGGGCTGCTGGAACAATCTAACCCAGTGACTGATGAGCATTCAGATTATTAGCCACAATTCCCTGAAATCATTCATTTAAACTGCTCAGTGTGGGAAGAAAAAGAGCATTGGTGAGGTGACAGAAAGAAAATGGACATTAAAATGTGCTCTTAAAGAAAACTGCAGCTAAAAAGGCATGGCCTCTGAGTCACGAAGAAACGTGGAAGAAACACAATTAACACCATTAACACCAAGTCTTTGTTTTTCTGCTTTTCTATTTAACCTCCCTGCTATGGGATGTCCTTCGTAACCGCAGTGCGGGCATGCTGTTGAACATGTGGGTGCCTCGGTGTCCACTCTGGTGTATGTTTTGTTTATATATGTGAGGCTTTATGCGTGCATGTCCTGTGTACTGTGAGTACCTCTGTCTCTGGAGATAGAGATCCAAAATCCTCCGCTTTTCCTCCTCTGTTACCATGACAACTGCTGCTGCTCTCAACAGGTCAATGGGGCCTGTCTAAGCTCACACAAGCACACACTCAGATTAGAGAACACACAGCAACACTCTTGAAGAACACACACGTACTTGAACACAGATGATAAAGGACTAAAACACAGACACACAGTGCTCTCGCGTGCTGTGTAATTATAGCCTGGAAACATTACCTGCACGCTGCAAGGTCAGCGAGAGGGACATCTTCCTAACTACCATGTTCTCTATATGAAATCACACTAAGTTGTCATTTTCAAAAGGTATTATTTAGCGCATTTACAAACAGACACATGCATGCACACACTTCCCAGCTACAGCTAATAAACTCCACAGGCTTACATGAAGAATTGCACTGTTCGTATACATTTTCAAACTCAGGAAACTAGATATCGGGATATCAGCATAACAAGTAACCTCACTCTTCTCGATAGTATAAGTATAGCCCAGATTCCTTACGGGCTTTTGAAAAGATAAGAGATTATCTGAGTTATTGTAAACTGTATGCGGCGTTTATGTGATCCAACTGTATAGAGAGAAGCTCTAGAAATAACAGCTTCAGGGATACTAGGATGCAATCCCAAAGTGAAATTCTGTTCCAAGCAACACAGTTAGCCTGTCAGAATGCAGAATATATATATATATATTTATATATATTTGTGTGCTGCTGTCTGAGGCATGTAGCACCCAGGTAAATGTTACATTGTATCAGCCGTAAAAGCCTCTCAGCTTCATGGATGTTAATTTCAATTTTATTTACTCTGGTTAATTTTAGAGCTCTCAGTTTGCTTGCAGCAAAATGCTGATTCCCAGTGATATTTCTTTTTTTCCTGTGGTCTTAAAGATGCATATTGCTATTGTTGTTATGCTAATTAATGTACGTTACGAATAGATTTGGTACAGACCTCCCAAATTTCCTCCAAGTGTTGTTTTGCTCTCAACAGCACAGCAGACAGTAGATTTATTATCATGCTGATGGAAGCAGACCTCAAGGGTTTTTGAAATTATGGGTCAGGAATGCAGAATGAGTCACAGGCCTATTTTTCAGTGGGTCCCCATATGTCTGAAGTGAGTTTAATGAGCCCTTGGTAGAAGGGTGAGTGATTAACTTTGATGCATTTTGGTCCCAAGCTGAACGAGCTGAATGATCTTGTGGCCGATGGTGTTCAAGAGTCAATTCTTAATCCAAACATAAAAAAAACATTTGCTTGATGGTAATAATTTGAAGCTCTTTCTCTTTTATGCGTTTACAGTTCTGTTCTTACAACAGAAGTTAAGCCTCTAAAATGAATAGGAGGTCTGTTTCTAGTCACACAGCAATTATTAATGGTGCAAGTAGTATGATTGCTAAAATTGTTTTTGGCCATTTTTGGGGAATTACTTACCCATTTCTTATTGGTCATCTAAACCTATTGCAAGCAATACTTCAGAAGACTATAAGGCTGTGATCTGTAGAACTTGTTGGGCTTAAAATGAGAAAATCCAAAGTAAATTCAGATTTTTGCATCCAATTCTTGTTTTTTTAAGTCATTAAAGATGTGTGCTGCAGAATCATTCCACTCTGGAAAAGAACAGTTCAAAGAAAACATTAAAAGCCCCTAAATTACCATGGCATTCATGCCCATGTTGCATGTATGTAAACTTCTAACCACATCTGAATGCTGATTTATTTTTTACCATCTGCAACTCAGATTGTCTAAATAAGAAGTTTATGACAGGCCAGACAGATCCATGCTTTAATGATTTCTGCATCAAATTCTGACGCTACCGTCTGAATGTAGCAGCAGAAATTGAAACTCATCAGACCAGGCAACATGTTTCCAATCTTCTATTGTTCAATTTTGGTGAACCCATGGGAATTATAGCCTCAGTTTCCTGTTTTTAGCAAGAGTGGCATCCAGTGTGGTCTTCAATTCCTGTAGCTCATCTGCTTCAAGGTTTTATCAGTTGTGCTTTTGGCGATGTTCTTATGCAAACCTTGGTTCAACAAGTGGCCTCAACCATGTCTACATGTATAAATGCAATGAAGTGCTGTCAAGCGATTGGCTGATTAGATTAATTTACCAGTTGTTACAGCACCAGCCAAACCGCCACTTCCAAGTCCAACAGTGAGATTCGGTGTAGTGAATAATTAAATCCTGGTCTCAAGGACAAAAACAAAACCCCAACTGCTTTCGCGGTATAATGCAATATGTTAGTGTCAGCTAATATATATGACTTTGCTGATGGTTTGTCTTCAGGATTGGAGGTTTTGACAGCCCGAGTCATCAGTACATTGCTGTTTACATTATACCTTGAGGTCTGGGGTCTAGACTAATTTGATATGCAGCCGAGAGTGAAGGCAGACAGGAGGGGAACAAAGTAAGAAAAGGAAGGTAAGAATAGAAGAAGAGGGAGGGCAAGAAGAAGGTGGAGGGAGGTGACAGCAGTGGCAGTTTGTAATTGTGTTGATGAAAACCAGAGCTCCTCTATCTCTCCTTCACACTCTCTCCCTTTCTTCCTCTTTATCTGTAGCTCTCCTCTCTCTCCCACCCCTCTCTTTCTCTTTCTCTCTCTCTCTCTCTCTGAGGCCCAAAATAATGAGGTCACTCCCCTCTGAAGGACCGTTCCAAATAAAAGCCCTCTGTGTCTCTCCTCTCTTATTCCATCTTGCTCTCACTCTTTCCTCATCCCGTCTTCCACGCGACAGGCCTGCTCCTTGCCGCACCCATATTAGGCCATGCAGCGTCTCTCTAACCCTCCCCTCCCTCCACTACGCACAAAGAGGTCTCTAAGTAACCCAGCGTGTGTCATTGTTAACAAAAAGCCAAACTCACTGACTTTGATCTCTCTCCTTGTGTACACTCCTTGTGCACTCTGCGATGTTTATATATACCTATGCTTATGTAAAGCTGTATTACTGTGGTTAAAAACACCTCTCTGTTGAAACAACACGCTTAATATGACGACTTTTTCTATACAAGGAGGTCAGAAACCAGAGTCTATATTATTTTGTGTTTTCCATCACAGATTTTAAAACCAACTCTGAGGTACTCCAAAAGCAGTAGAAATGTATTTGACTCAGTTTAATGTTTTTAAAGTGTACTCAAGTAAACCAAGATAATCACTGCTGTGTAAATGCCTCTGTATCTCTTGTTTTGTGTACACTATTCCACCTTAACTTTTCACTCAGACCATTTGAGATCATCATCCTGATGACAATTTTTGCCAACTGTGTGGCCTTAGCTGTCTACATCCCCTTTCCCGAGGATGACTCGAACGCCACCAACTCCAACTTGGTGAGTAGTGCATGATATTTAAGCTCTTTTACAGCTCAGTATGCTCGCTTGCGGCTTGGTATAATAGATGCTGCTTGGTTCACTGGGTATGTTTTTGCAGTCCTGTTGCTTCGGCCTGACACTTGAGTTACCTTGTGTTTGTAGGGGGTGATGTATTAAGCAATTCATTAGCAGCATTTGCTGTTTTTCCTTAGCATTCTAGCGTGTAATTTGCACATTTCCGGTTGATTCAGTATGATTTACTGTCATGAACTGTATGCGGTTTTGCCAAGTTAGCGAAGGTACAGCATAAGAATGAGCGAGTAAAATTAATGAAAGGCAGAAACTTTGGGGAAACGGGCATGGAATTACCCTAATTTTTAGAAAAGGTTATTGATTATAACTTTTAAGCTTTGTGGGTTAATCTGATCAAAGATGAGGCCTCATTTTTTGTGGGCAAAAACATCATTTTGGTCTGCACTGAGGAACTGCGAACTTTTGTTGGTGACCTGACTTGACTTGTTTTAATTGGCTGATTTTCTTTCTTTCTTCTTTCATATTGTACTAAATGTTACATATTGAAGCAAAAATGAGTTATTAATAAAAAGAGATTTGCAAATTGTATTTTTGCATTGTTCATTCATATGTTAAGAGTTGATAAAAAGCTTTGTATTAAACCGTTGAAAAATTTAAATGGGTTTCAGAGCTACACTGACAGTACCCACAATGATGACACGTTAAACTCAGCCATGATTTGATAAGCTTCTTGTGATGTTAGGAATGCTTGGCTTTTTCAGTCGTAAAGTGTCCCCATAAATGCTCAGTGAGGCTGCGGTCAGGTACTTGCAGATTATTACAGGTGAAGATTGGCGTTACACTTAGCAGTCAGTTGATTTGCTGCTATTGTCCAGTTTTACAGTGTCCAAAATAGTCATGATTATATTTCCCTTGTGAGTTTGACTACAGTATACAGTATCAGCTTTCTCCTGTTCCTTACACGCACCCTTTCGTTACTGCTGTCATTCCTTTTTTTAACAGGTCTTTAGTGGACTGAAGTGTTGTGTACTTCATTTAGCAAATCCCGCATCTGTGGTGAAGCTACTTTTCTGTCTTTCTGTGAAAATAACGCCTGATGTATTGATCTTTTGATTATGTGGTCAGTTTTGTTCTGCCTGACCGTGCTTGGGAAACAGCTGAACCAGTTACCACAAAGCATTTGATGTGACTTACACTTCCCCCTAAGAATCCTTCAGCCTAGCCATGAGTTCATATTGAGAAATCCTCTATTTAGCCCTCCTTTAGCACACTTGATTTTTCACATTTAGCTTATCAGCTTCTTGTGTTTTAAAATGTTTCCAAGTGCTCAAATGATTTCCAGGTTTCTATGACTGATATTCAGCGTGGTTCCAAACTTTTAGACTCGACAGTACATGTGAATTATGTGCGTCACATATGTGCGAATGTGTGTGTCAGCTGGCAAATGTATGCCAGTGTATAGTTACAGGGTTTTTCCTGGCTCGAATCTCCAGGGCTTGACTGTGACTGTTAAAATAGTGAGTCTATTTTAACTCATGTGACAGAAATCTATGCATTTTCTTGTTATTTCATAGGATTCTTCTATATTTGGTTAAAAACGAATGTTAATATAATGCTGGTGAGTTTTCCTTTGGCTCTGGCTAAAACCTCTTTGGGAGATGCCAAAAAATCCTGTATGCAGACAAAACCTTATAGTTAGAGGAGACTAATCCCTCTGAGGCCTTGTAACATCTGGCGCTCTGTTTCCAACTCTTTCTTTCCTTCTTCCTAAGGATATCTTGTACAACTCACACTTTACTATGGCCTTCACATTTCCACACATCTCCACATGCTTTGCTGCATGTTTGGAGAATGGTTCCGTCTTGTCTTCTGAATACAAATAGCAGAAGAAGAGGCCCCATTTAGGCTTTTTTCACCTTGCATACTCATAATGTTGTGTTGGACTTACAGCACATCTGTGAATGATTAAATATTTGTTTTTATTTGTTTAACTGTATGCCAACCCTCTAATTTCTCGCATAAAGATACAGTGTCAGAGCAGGTGCATATGAGTCAGCAAACAGACAGCTGTTTTTTATCTTCTAGATCCATGCCCATCACCTACTCTCTCTGCTTATCACGCTTTGCTTTTTAGCTCTTTAATCACACTCTTTCATATAATTTGAAAGGTTCTATTTATGTTATCAAACCGTTAATAAGATTAGCAGCACAGACTGACAGAACTTGATCCTTCAGAGGCATCGAGAAAGGCTGAACTTTCAGGTGAAAAGCAGCTAGCGCAGTCATTCATGTTGGAAACCCAAATGGAAATTCTGTTTTATGTCAATTATTATTTTGACTTTCAGTGCAGAAGAGGTTTTTACTTGAAATCTGAACTGTATAATAAGTCTCTCAGTTTTTCCCAAAGTACAGAAGCACCGTAGAGGGCTTCAGTGTTCCGTAACCGTATAAAGCACAAAGCCCTGGCACACTGTGAGGAACACTGTTAGATAAAATGCAAGGCCTAAACAAAACTACTGTCAAGTCATATATTTTAGCCAAGTTTTTCTTTTTTTTTTTCTTTTTTGGACCCTACGGGTGGCCCCTCCCCACCTCCTAAGTTAATGAACAGATACAACACACACAACCACTACAGCTGTGCTCAATTAGTTTTATAACCTTCTGACAGACAGGAAGCAGTGCGCAGATGGACCAGAGTCTTAAATATACAGGCGAACTATGTATATGTAAGTGTCTGTGTCTGTGCAGTATTAACAACTAGGCAACTTAAATCAAAAAGTACTTTTTAGGCGGGTGTGGGGATAGATCTATTGCACAGCTATCTGGCTGATTAATGTGTGGAGGCATCAGTGGTTCAGATCTTGTTTCACTCAGACACAGATGTCGTCAAATGTGTGACGGTACAAAAAGTATGGTGGTGGAAATATTCCTCACAGGTTTTGGTGCATATTGGCATCATAGCATCACACAATTGCTGCAGATTTGTCAGTCATGCATCCCTAAGGCAAATCTCCTGTTTTACCATCCCAAAGGTCTATGCTCTATTGGTTTGAGATCTGGTGACTGTGGAAGGTATTTGAGTGTATTGAACTTATTGTTATGTTTAAGAAACAAGTTTGGGATAATTTGTTACATCTGTTGGAGTTTCCATTGTTGGTACTAAGGGGTAAAAAGTGTACTAAACAAATATCCCCTATCCTATTACACCACCGGTAGCAGCCTACTCTTTGATACAAGATGGGATTGATCAATGCTTGCTGTTTATGCCAAATTCTGACCTTACCATCTGAAATCGAGGCTCTCCAGACAAGGTGGCATTTTTCCCAATCTTCTGTTGTCCAGTTTTGGTAAACCTTTGTGAATTATAGCCTCAGTTTGCTGTTTATTAGCTAAAAGGACTAGCACACAGTGTGGTCTTCTGCTGCTGTAGCCCATCTACTTCAAAATGTGATGTGTTGTATGTGTCTCAAAGATGCTCTTCAACAAACTTTGCACGTAACAAGTGGTTATTTGAGTTATTGTTGCCCTTCTATCAGCTCAACGCACCCTGGCCATTCTCCTTTGACCTCTGGTATCAACAAGGCAATTTCACTCAGGGAATTGCTGCTCACTAGGTAATCTGTCAGACACCAAGGAGCATGAGGCAGTAAAAGGCACTTAAATCACATTTCTTCTCTATTCTGATGGTCAGTTTAAACTTCAGCGAATAATCTTGACCTTGTCTATATGACTAAATGTGACAGGCTGGTTAGATACTTGATTTAATGTGCAGGTGAACAGGTGTACCTAACAAAGAGGCTTTATTCAAACATCTGCCACTAAACCGATACACCGTTTAATGCTTTTTTAAAATGTTTTTTGGTGGGTTTTTTTTGTGACAAACACATGTCAGAATGAGAACATCATATTTAATAACAGTGCCTTCATCTAATAATGCCATAAGGGCCTCTTAAGCATGTTCTTTATGTTTACGCTATTTAGCAACTGGCCCTATTGAGCTTCTTTTTTTTCATTGTGTTTGCACAGCAGTAATTAAACCAAAGACTGCCAGAATCCATATTACTTTCCACTTTTTAATTTGCCAGAGTGTCTATTGTCTATATCCTCATTATATTCACATCATAATTTAGAGGATGGCTTTATCCAGAGCTGCTTTGATTAAGGACACTAACGGCCCAAATGACTCTTAATGCACATTTAGGAAGAGGGAACCTGTGACCATATTGTTTAACCAGCAGGAAACTCAGTGGCATGATCATTCCCGTTACACTAAGATAAGTTAGTGTCACCTTTCCAGTGCTGCAGACTGTGAGGCAGCCCTTTAATGTTAGTTTGAACCACGGGAGTCTTATAAATACTGTCTTCCTCACAGCTTAACCTTAACCTTTTGTGTTGCTATTTAGTATTGTTGTAGCATTTTCCATCCTTGTTGGATATTGCTGCCATTAATTTTCTTTCCCATGTATCTTATCATTAAGTGTTTAGTCCCGTGTGATTTTGTTTGTTTACCAAAAGCTTTATTTCTTTCCATTTTTCCTTTTTTTTATACAATTGTCCTGCTGGTTGCATATGGCTGTTGCAGTGTGGAATCCATTTGCACAAGTTTCTGCCTTACCGTCTTCACTGCAGCAATGACACACTCCCAAGCTACGTGTTTCTCTTTTTTTCTATCCACTATTTAGTCCACCCAATGATCGATGCCACCTGTCATCAGTCCATCCCTGTGATCTTGTCTTCTAAAGTTTTTTCATTGGCATTATATAAGAAGAACTTTATAACTTTAGTTATACTTTTAAGTATACTTGTAATAATGTATTTATAAATATACCCCCCCGCCAACCCTGCGTTTAATCATACCTGAGTTTCAGATTCAGTGTGGCACCCCCTCAGTAGGTTTGCAAGTCCTTGTTATGTAATACCACAGATCTGTTGTATTTCTCCCAGTTCAAGATTTCTATTTCTGTCTGCATCCCATAATGTGCCGC